CCTCTCTCTCTCTCTCTCTCTCTCTCTCTCTCTCTCTCTCTCTCTCTCTCTCTCTCTCTCAAACATGCAAAATAGACTCCGTTTTCATTATGAAAATGTGTTACGTCAAGATTTGTTATTAGAACTTCATTATACAACAGCCTGGCAGCTGCGTTGATTATGTAAAATCATAGTAGTTCCTTTCACATTGAGTCTGACTGAGATTGGATTGACTTTTTGTGGCATTATTTGTTTGTCTTTTTTTGTTTCGTTTTTGTTTTTGAAGTTTTACCTGTAGAAGCAAATTCTCCAAATTTATTACCAACCATATCTTCAGTAATCTGTAAACCAACAAAATATTTTCCGTTATAAACTTGTGCATAGTAACCGACAAATTTAGGGAAAATACACCCGACAAATTTAGGGAAAATACAAGATCTACGTGAACAAATTTTCCAGCTTGCCAGAGTTGGAAAATTTGGTCACGTAGATCTTGTATTTTGCCTAAATTTGGTCACATAGCTTTCTCGCCACATCTCTCTCTCTCTCTCTCTCTCTCTCTCTCTCTCTCTCTCTCTCTCTCTCTCTCGCACGCGCACGCGCGCGCGCCTGAGGCATGGCATTACGTGCTCCCAGGCATGGGAGAGCGGTCGAGTAAGGGTGTCCCTAAAAGTTGTGCCCCTTGCTGACAGGGCCCTGCAGAAACGTCCACAGGCTCAGGTGCACGGCAGGGTAAGTAAAGGGGTCAGAGGGGTGCAATGCAAAAGTAGTTGAACTTTGAGGGGCATTGACAAAACTTTGCCCCCTTTTTTTTTTTCCCATAGTCAGGAAACGTACAGCCGGTTTAAAATTGGAACGAATCAGAGAAGATTAGTGTGGCCCCTGCGCAGTCAAAGATGACATCAGGACACGCGTAAGTAAATAAATTTTCCGAACTGCAAACAAAAGAAAAGAAACACAAAGTGGGGCAGTGTCACACTTTCAGTTTCAAAAGGGCAAAAGAAACATGTGCGGGCAACAGAATCGGGTGGGGAGTTTGACAAGGGCGATATCAGTAAAAGTGGTTGGGCCCCACTTGCAATTTTCTTGGCCCCCTTTTCAAGCTCGGTGCCGGGGTAAAAATGCTTTTGTTCAAATTGATGCCCTGTTCGAACTGGTTTGTGCCACACCGAACTTGCCCTAAAAGTAAAAACATGGGGCTGAACTTCTGTTTGTCCCCCAAGTTGTTAGAGCTCGAGCCCCCGACCTTATCTTCTTTTAAGATTTTAGTTGAGAAGGATCCCATAAAAACTTCTTTTGACAAGTGGGCAAAAACCGACCCCTTGTTTGTTGTCCTTTTCTCCCTCTCTGCCTATCGTTTACCGGGCAGCTCTGTTGATATATATATATATATATATATCATCACAAACAGAACTGCCCGGTAAACCATAGGCAGAGAGAGAGAAGAGGACAACAAACGAGGGGCTGTGACAAACTGTTTCGTATATATATATATTCTGCCTACGGTTTACTGGGCAGCTCTGTTTGACGATATATGTATCGGCAAAACAACGACGAAACAACGACGAAACAGTTTCGTTTGTCATCCTCTTCTCTCTCTCTGCCTGAGGTTACCGGGCAGCTCTGTTGCGCTGCGCGCTGAGGGCGGCGGATAAAGACGATCGAGGGCGGGGGACTGTGCAGAGGGGTGAGCGTACCGAACGGCGGTCGCCCAACCAAATGCACGGTCGGTCCTATAAGGTTGGGCGACACGGATTTGGACCACACACAAGCACAGAGAAAAAAAAAAAAAAAAAAAAAAAAAAAAATCAAGGAAACAAAAACCCAGAGGGAAAAAAAAAAAGAAAAAAAAAAAGGAT